CAAACATTACACAATAAGGTCTGCTGTGATTAGGCCATAGATAGTTCCAAACCAGTTACCCGTAAACCATGTTGCTTAGAGTTTTGAATGCATTCATTTCACTCATTCCATAAGCATTTATCGAACACTTTGGTAGACATTGAAGGGAATGTAATAACGAGAGCTGCCATTTATTAATTTCCTCCTGTATACTAAGCACTTCGCATCTGCTTTTTTTCAACCTTACTTCTATAACACCAGGACGATATCTCCATTTTAGAAGTGAAAAAATTGAGGAAAGTGAGGAAGCTGAGGGTCAAATAGATTAGATGATAACCTACGGACGTGTTTGTGAGGCTTCCACAGTATACCACCCTGGAGAGACTGGGCCCCAATATAGACATACTTCTTTGTAAACAGAAATAAAATTTAGTGTGATTAGGAACCCGAGAAATGTTATGGAAATTCAGATGGGAGAGGAGAATGTTTCTGAGGCTTGGGCTATAACTAAAGGCTTAAGGAAGAAGATAGAGCATAATAGAGTAAGACTCAATGGTTGTGTATGATGCCCTGAGGAATGTTTTCTAAAATTTCGTCTTATAGATTTATGTACCTTCTAAAATCCTTTTTGGAAGAGCAGGGTATACAACTAAAGAGAGCAATTAGATGTAGTCAGTATTGATATTCATGAAGTTGAAGCACATACACTTCTTTTTATGAATGTCATAATCTACCTTACCTAACTTGTCTGTAAATTAATAATATGAGAATTTTTCAGGTAGCTTGCAAATCTCATGCCAGTACCCAGGTTAAATCACAGACCAGCTATACACTTTTCAGAAGTCTTTCTAATGTTGCTTTGTCTCAGGACATCTTCAAAGAAATGAAAAAAAGATTGCAGTTGATGGAAACCTGAGAAGACAGTACTACAGAAACAACTATGTTTTCAAAAGAATCCCTCAACACCACATTTAATTGTAGTTTCTGATGAAATAGAACCATAAATTTAAACAGAAAAAAATATGTAGCTACTATTATTTGCAGTGCTGGCAAAAACAAAATTGTAGATTTGTGTATAATACAAAAGACATCAATGAATAGAGTCCTTGCTAAGGAAAATTAAAACCTAGAAGCAAATCTTTAATTGAATTTTTTGACATCCATTGATTTTTCTTTCAGTTCTTGGTTTCCTCTAAAACATCGACTATATGTTAAAAATGAAATCCCAACACTCATTAAATTACAGAAATGTTCCTGAATTAGGTGTAATGTTTTCATCTTTTCTGCCTCTAGGGGGGAGTGTGTATTCAACAATTCTGTCCTCAGAAGGTATTTGATTGTGGGCCACAGGCTTCACAGGGGTATTCTTTAATGTGACTTCAGGGCTGGCTCTCCAAGGGAGAAGAAGGCCTTTGAAAATCTGGATGGGCTCCTCTTACTTTAGAGGCTGCAGCCAAAATTCTGAGGGAGAAGGGTTATAGGGACTGTTACAATCGGTGGAGAAAACTTCCTTCTGATAGCATTTCAAGGACTCACGTGTTGGTTCCCTATGTAGTGCTGTCTTTCCTGGTAGTAGAGAAATAACATGTGGACACAAGTTTCACTTCATAGAGCTAGAAAACAAACAGTTGAATACTTTATAGAAAACTTGCCACCTTATTTTAGTAGCTTAAAGTTAAAAAAAAATAACACATGGTTTGTGGATATTGATGAAAACATTTCTAAATCCTATAAAAAGCCTATTAGTTTCAGTAATATCACCTTTAGAGCTAACATTGTCTTTCCTTCAATTGGCTAATTTTATTTTCTTTTGCAGCATTTCCCCGTAACTTTCCTTTGTTTTAATTCAACAATTGGAACCAGAAAGGATGCACTCAGGGAAAAGGTTAGCATTGTTTTGAATGTTAAAAAGTGCTTCCTTTTCTCTCCATTTCAGTGTTTTACAGAATTGAAAAGACTAATATTTAAAAGTTGAGTCAAAGGGATGAATTATTTCTATTTTTTGACTTTTTCTTTTGGTTCATTTTTATGATTAAAGTGCTGCAAAAGTTCTGTTATAAAATAGATCTGATGTTATTTTCAGATTTACTGTGCTGTAATAGCCTCAAAACTTAGCTACACATAAAATAAAATTTTGATATAAAGAATGTTATTACTTAAAGTGAAAGTTACCTTGCAAATCTCATGCCAATACTGGGGTTAAATCACAGACCAGCTATACATTTTTCAGAAGTCTTTCTAATTGTTGCTTTGCCTCAGAACATCTTCAAAGAAGATGGTGCCATAGGTATTACATGGTTTATTTCTAATCCAATCTCATTTAAAAATATTCTCTGGGGATGAAAAGGTATTTAAATATGTCATTTACAGTTTTGGGGCCTTAGTTCATTTACAGAGTGAGGGGCGTCAGGATGGTTGACTAAGTCTTTTCTGGCCCTAAGATTTAGAATTTCATGATATTTACACAAACTTTCAGCTGGTTTTAAAAAAATCGACTTAAAGTAACATTAAAATCCATATGCTTATATCACTTGATGGATTTTCTTATAATCTTGTGCCTGTTTTCATTTGAAAAACTTTTTTTAAAATCCTAATTTCTGCTCATTGGCATTTTCAAGGGTGTTTTGAGCAGCAGCAAGAGCAGTAAAACTGGCTTTTCATCCTCTGCTGTCTATAGTTTGGGACTCTTCCCTTTTGCAGCTTCCTCTTGTCACTGCTCTTTAGTGACAAGCTGGAAGTTGAGAGCTCCTACCCGAAGGCCCGGGAGAGAGTACCGATCGGTGCTCACTCTAGCGTAAAGGCACTGCTGCGCTGCTCACCCTTCTCAACCTCCCCACCCCCGCCCCCGGGCCAGGCTGAGCAGTGCTGGGAAGGGAGAGGCGTTCACGCCCGGGGCCACTGAAACCCCAGGCTTTCCGAATAAGCCCACGCCACACACTGCAGAATCACATCGCCACTGGCGGGTGTTCCCCAGACACAGAGCACACCGCGGAGTAATAGGAAACCCGGATTCCTTCATGTCTCCTGGCAACCAGTTTTGAAATCCAATAAGACCATGGAATTTGGGATTTAGCCGTTGTTTTGGTTGTTTTGTAGTTGTTATTATTATTATTATTTTAAATCTATGATCCCATAAATGCCTACCCTCCTCCAAGGAGTTTGGGAGGGATTTAATTGCCCTGAAGCGCTAAATCTCAATTTCCAGTGTGAGTGGATTATCTTGTTCGTGGAATTAAATTTTATATAGATGCCTCTTTTGCTACTGGTTAGTAGCTCTAATTAAATAAATGAAAGTTCTCGCAGGAGTTAGAAGCTCCTACTTACAGTGAAGATTTAGGGATCACAGTGCATAATTTGAAATCTAAATGACCCCGAGCACGAAACGTCGCCTATAATTACATCTGCTGTGCTGCGCCAGAAAGAGCGGTAAGGAGAGGGCTGTTAACGGCGGCGCGCGCTGGTGCCTGAAGTTGCCACATCCAAACCTCGGTTGCCTTTTCACCGTCACGAATGAGAGCCAGAGCGCTTTAGGGCCTCCCAGTGAAAAATGCAGCGCCTGGGGCTGTGGCGCCCGGGTTCAGAGTCGGGTGCAAGTTTCTGCCGAAAGAGGGCGTTGGTCTAAGAGTAATAGAAATTTGTGGACATGGACGCCCTGTCAAATGAAAGACCATTTTAAAACACTTTCAATTTATTTAAATTTGCAGGACTTAAGTTTCAGAATTCTCCCGTCCAACGTAGCACGTTCACGTTGTAAATGACTTCGGTGTGATACTACATGCAGAGGGTCCAGTTCCATGTTGATCTGACCCCGCGGCGCGGAGGACTCCGGCGATGCTCCTGTGGCCCGGGACCTCTCCACGGCCGTTTCCTTCTGTCTCCATCGCTGTTGTGGCTGTGACCCGTGGTAGGACTGGGTCTCCGAGGCAGGACCTTTCACCGCCTGGCAGAACTCGGAGCACAGTGCCTCAAGCGCTGCGGAGGAGACGCGAGCGCTCGGGTCGGAGGGGAGCGCACGTCCGTACACAGGAGACTCTCCCGGGAACGTTTTGGGGAGATAATCCATTTATTTAGTTACCTGGTTTAGCAAACAAAGCCCCGGGGACACCTTAGGGATGCTTTCCAAGCTTTGTGACACCTCCAGAAGCTGAATCGTTCGCTTGCCCTTGGGAGCAACAAGTTTCGCTTTCCTGCTCTCAGTGCGCGAGCAGAGGGTGTGTGCGCGGGGACAGGGTGACCCCGGCACCACTGCGACTCCAACGCGAACCCGCGTGTCCCAGAGGGAGGGAGCCGGCGCGGGGCGGAGGAAAGAGGGGTGTGGGTAACGCCCCGGCCAGCGGGCATACCGGGTCCGCGACGAAACGAGCCATCTGCATTGGGACTTTGGTCCTTGTTCCCTGACCTTGCGCCGGGGGACCGGGAAGGTCAGGTGCTGGTCGCGAGTCGGCGCGTCAGAAGGAAATGTGGCCAAGAGCTAGAAAGAGGTGAGAGCGAGCGGGACCTACGGATTTTTGCAACGAAAGGACAATTTCTAGAAACAACACTTCCTCCAATCCTATTGTTTTTTTTGCACGGTGTGTGTGTGTGTGTGTGTGCGTGCGTGCGTGTGTGTGTGTGTGTGTGTGTGCGCGCGCGCGAGCACATTTCTTTACTTTCAAATACATTTCCTTTTTTTAAAGCCCGGAGCTGGAGAGAGCGTGGCCAGGGACAGTCGGGCATCGCAGAAGCGCGCGGCTCGGTGGGGGCTCCCGCCGGTGCAGAAGTGGGCGGTTGCGGCTTTAAGGAAAAGGCAGAGGGCCGGCGGGGAGTGGGGATTAGGGACAGGGGAGCGGTGGGCATATAAGGGGTTCGGGGAGGAGCCCTGATGTAAGAATGTTAATGAGAGGCTCCCCCAGCCCAGCCCCCACCTCTCCCCACCCGCTGGAAATACAAGCCCGGCCTCGGCGCGCCATGTGTGGTAACCCGCTCCGCCGCTGCCACGCTATTTAAACGCGGGCTATGGATCCAGGAACGGGCGCGAATCAATGAGATCAAACGCGAGGTAGATGCACCGTCAATTACAAGCACTTGGACAAGTCTAACTTTTTTTTCTTTTACAAATACGCTTTCAAAAGCAACCTTAGCAACAACGCCCAAATGAGAAGCCACCTTTAAGCAAAATAGTATATATATAAAGGGAGGGCGAGTATATATATATATTTATAATAGATATATATATGCATATTACAGAAGCACAGGTTGACACCCAGTGAACTTTTTCTTTTCTTTTTTTAAAAAACTAGTGACATTGCAGAGAAGGACTCTTCCTATCTTTTGGTGCGTTAGCGAAGGGGGTATTCTATTTTCTTAAAGCGCCCAAGGGGGCGCAGGGACCTCGGAGAGAAGAGTGGGGAGGAAAGAGGAAGGGTGTGTGGGGGGCAGAGGGTGAGTCGGCGGCGAGGGAAAGAGGTTTCTTGAGACACGATGCAGTCCCTGCTGGTGCTCACTTTCTCCGCGTGCGTCCTGCTCGGCTGGGCGTTGCTGGCCAGCGGCACGGGTGGCGGTGGCGGTGGCGGCGGGGGCGCGGGCCCAGGCGGCGGGCGCCGGGAAAGAGAGGCGCTGCCGCCGCAGAAGATTGAGGTGCTCGTGCTGTTGCCCCAGGATGACTCGTACTTGTTCTCTCTGGCCCGGGTGCGGCCGGCCATCGAGTACGCTCTACGCAGCGTGGAGGGCAACGGGACAGGGAGGCGGCTTCTGCCGCCGGGCACTCACTTCCAGGTGGCCTACGAGGACTCGGACTGCGGCAACCGTGCACTCTTCAGCTTGGTGGACCGCGTGGCTGCAGCGCGGGGCGCCAAGCCCGACCTCATCCTGGGACCGGTGTGCGAGTACGCGGCAGCGCCGGTGGCCCGACTTGCGTCGCACTGGGACCTGCCCATGCTGTCGGCCGGGGCACTGGCCGCCGGCTTCCAGCACAAGGACACTGAGTACTCGCATCTCACGCGCGTGGCGCCCGCCTACGCCAAGATGGGCGAGATGATGCTCGCCCTGTTCCGCCACCACCACTGGAGCCGTGCCGCGCTGATCTACAGCGACGACAAGCTGGAGCGGAACTGCTACTTCACTCTCGAGGGGGTCCACGAGGTCTTCCAGGAGGAGGGTTTACACACGTCCGCCTACAATTTCGACGAGACCAAAGACCTGGACCTGGACGACATCGTGCGCTATATCCAGGCCAGTGAACGAGGTGAGCAGGAGCGCGCCCCGGGCCTCAGGCCCTAACTCAACCGCTCTCCGTGGCTCTCCCTACACACCCGTCCACGCCTCTGCGGACCCCACTGCCTCCCGGGGCGCTGAGGACCCGGGAAGGCGCGCTCGTTCACCTGTGCGTTGTCTAGCTGCGACGACCTCTGATGATCGCCCAGCTCCGTCAAGGGCTGTACGTAGAGGGTCCCGGGGAGGTGGAAGGATCTGGGGGAAATCTGAGTCCGCCGCTCCTGCGTGCCCAAGTCCGACAGGTGCTGTAAAACCACCTGGGATTTTTCTTTCTCCTCCCCACTTAGCGGGCACCGGACGGTGATTAGGGGGCGCACTCCCAGGGCCCTGCTCCAACCAGGGTCTGAAGCGTGTTGAGGCCCAAAGAACTTGTTACCGAGTCCTTTGCTTGCCTGCACCCCCTCTTAGTGCGGTAGCGTCCGCGAACTCTGTGCAGCAGTGCGCCGCCACTTGGCTCACCAGGTCTCCGGGTTTCGGGTTTCCCAGACTGCTCCTTCCACAGACCCCAAGTTTCTTTTAAAGGCTCATTGTACCACTCTTCTCATTCCTTCTATGGCCCCTCCAGCCCCTTATAAACGAGCTTCTGCGGTTTCCATCCCAAATACCTCTCTGTATGTGGACACAGGCGACACTCACTTCCTTGTCGCTCTGGGCATCGCAGTATCTAAAGCGCCCAGAGCTAGGCTTTGCGGGAGCCCGTTCTGGAGACATGGGCGATGAACCTCCTTTTCACCTGTCTCCTGCACCCCCTCACCCGCCCATCCCCAAGTTTTCTCCACGGGTCTCTGGGGGTTTGAAATAATACCCAAACTGGACAAAGAGCGCAAGGCTGAGGGTGGTTGCTGTGGCTACGGGAGCTGGTGGTCGCGGGTACGTAGGCGCAGAACCCCCCCAGTGCGGCAGGGGAGACTGCGGGGTGGCGGGTTGAGTTTCCAGCACAGCGCAGATCCCTTCTCCCTCGCGTCGCTTTTGAGGTGCGCAGCGCTCAGGGAATCCCGCCTCTGCTCCCCCTCGGCGCGCACGCACCTCGAACGCAGCCCCAGGGCCTCGCGGGTGAGACCGAAGGGGAGCGGGGCTCGTCCACAACTTGGCATGGCCGGGCACCTGGGCGCCGGCTGTGAGGGGCAGCGCAAACTGAGGCCGGGGGCCTCAGGAACAGGTGAGAATGGGCAGAGAAGCCATCGAGGGTGGCACTGCAGCCACCCCCTTTCCCAGTTTGGCCACTTCGGACTCGAGTGAACGCACCCTTTAGAGCGAAGAGGCAGGAGCTGTTGACAGTGGGGAGGCATGACCACGTTTTGAGCGCTCGAACTCCGGGCTGTCTGCACCGAATCCCTGCCCGCCAAGCAGGCGGGGCGCCGGCTTTGCTGATTATGAAAAAGGGCATTTGTGTCCAGCGGCTGCTGACGTGCCGGGTCGAGGAACTCACATCTACTTTTCTCCCTACTCCCAGTTCCCATGTTAGCGCAGCATCCCGGGCTGCTCTTGCCCCTGGAACATTTTTCTTCAGCTCTCTGCTTTTGAGGGCCGGGAGCTAGAAGTCGGAGACCTCCCAGGGCTGGCTGGGGCATGGGGGTGTGTCCCCCTACGGGCGGGATCCGCAATTTGCGAACACTTCTGTGCTGCCACAGCCCTGTAGGTCCCAGTGTTGGCGGTGGCCACAGTGCACGTGGCCTGGGATACCAGGCCCAGAGCATCCGTCAGCTCAGATGGGGGTGAGGCGAGGGCACGGGGTGGCGGCTCGGGGGCCCTGAGCCTCACATTGGTGGCTGAGGCCTGGGGGCAGGAAGGGCGGCAGTGCTCTAGAGGGACTTGGGGAAGTGTTGCTCCTCGGGCTTCAGAGGGCTTGGGCTGCAGTCTGCTGCTGCTGGTTATTACTTTGATTCCAAAAGCCTCCTAGATGTTCCCACTTTTCTTTGAGCTTTTTTTTTCTTCCAAGTTTGAATGTAGCGGTGAAAGTTCGCTCCGCTGACCTGTATATGTTACAGGTGATAAGTTTACTATTTTATGATTCCTACTCTAAAAGGTATTTCCAACAGCGACTTGGCAGATATTTAGAAATATGAAACAAAAGTTTCTCCTTTAAGCTGCCCCTCCCTCTCTCCTCTCTGAAATTCCTTACTCTCAGGAGAGAGAGTTGCTTGATAACAAAGCTTTCTTAGGGGATCTTTTACAAACACATTGAGTTCTGCTACTTCACCATAAGCAGTTAATGTAAATAGGGGTTTAGTATATGGTTTCAGTGGAATTTGTGGCTCAGCCACTCACTGGCTGGGAGCTCTTGGACTGCTGTTAAATCTCCACACCTCCACTTCTCAGGTAAAGTGAGGTAGCGGAGCACCCACATCTTTGGGGAGCTGGGAGGGTTAAAAGAGCTAACTCAGGAATGCACTGAAACAGTGCCAGGTGTATACTAAGTGCTCAATAAATGTGCTCTTTTACTGTAGTTGTTATAATTATTTTATAGATGTGACAATAATCACCTTTACCCAGAAGGTGAGGCCATGCCATGGGGAAGAACCCTGGGCTGAGAAGCAGATGCTTCTGGATTTGGCTTCTCTACTTGGCATCTGTTTTCTTCTCTGTGAAATGAGTAGAGTGGGTATCAGGCCTCTCCAAACTGATATTTATTTAATGGTCCTGATTTGCACTCACCGGAGTGTAAAAATGCAACTGACAGTATTTTTGCCTTTGAAAATTCCATAGTATCCATCATGTACTAAAGTAGAAAGAGCCCCATTCTTTTGGTGAGAATATTTTTAGCACTTCTTTTGAGGTTAAATTTCTCTTTAAAACCAGATTGCAAATGTTTGAATTTCTTACCAGGTAAAAACTGGCAATCCCACCATCTCAAAGATAATATGACTAAAATTTCATTTGGCTATGTGCCGTACTACAGAAAGAAAAACTAAGAGACAGTAACTGTTCTTTCATTTTAGGGATTTCCCACCTAAGTCAATAATTTAAAAACATCTTTTTCCTGTCATATCTTTAGCTAATATTACTGAAATACACACACCTGAGTATATATATATATATATATATATATATATTTAAATAATGATCTTTTTTTAAAATGGATTCACTTATACTGCCCTCAATGTTCCACACTTCACAATAAATTCATTTTTAAAAAGACATGTTTAGAAGGAAATAATTTTTTCATGCAATGAAAGCCAGTAGCTATCTACACACCCTATACGATGCAGACCTAGAAGTATTCCACACACAAATGTTTTTGTAAGAACTGTAGTGTTATACTTTTAGTTATATATGTCATTAATCTGGGCCTGCATCACGACTGTAAAGACAACAGTATTTAATCAATACAATAGTCATTTATTTTTAGAATTAGTCTGGGGTGAATGACTGAGTACTCAAGCAGAATTTTTAAACAAAGAGTACATGATAATTGTGAAATAACTAACACACGGCAGGGGAAAGGAAGCCTTGTAGGCTGCGGTGTAGAAATTCTGAAGGCCTTTGGAATAGATAGAGCTTTGTGAACAACAGAAATAAAGGTGCAGTCTCTATTTTGCAAATGATATACACTGCTGTGTAGTGTAGGAACAGCCAGAGAGAAACCTTTTTATAAAAAAATTAGATTTTATTTTTACCAATGTCAGTTATATAATAACACAGTTTAAAATCAGAAAATTACACATCTTAGTAGGAAAAAAAGATTCTTGTTTCCTACTCCCCATTTCTTACTTTCCAGAGGCAACTACTTTCAACTCTTGTAGCTGTTCCTGTAGGTATTGCCTTTATATCTCTCAATAACTTGCTATAATAATTTTGATTTTTTTTTCAGTTTTAGGTCTTATCTCTTGGTATCCCAGTGGAAAATGATGATTAGTTCTCTTCTACTGCCCGTTAATCACGCATGCAAGCTTTCCTTCCAGTCATCCTTCCAGTATGGTTGTGTCAAGACTTTTCTGGGGAGGATGAGGCAGGAGGATCACTTGAATCCAGGAGTTTGAGGCTGTGGGTTGCATCTGTGAACAGCCACTGCACTTCGGTCTGGACAACATAGTGAGACCCCATTCCTTAAATTTTTTTTTAGTTAGCTCAGTATTTGGTATTGATATTATTATTACCTTCTAAATGATATTTGCAATTGAGCCGTATAGATGACTATTCTGGCATTTCCTTTCTTGACCTATTTGTTTTCCTTGGGATTAAAAAAAACACTGTTTTTGTTTATTTGCTATGGATTTGTAACTAAATCATCTTCTAATTCTCTATGTTAGGCCTCCTGAGCTGTTTCAGCTTATTTTCCAGGCATGCTACACAGTTGCCGCTTTGGGTTCTTTCTTTTATACCTTCCTGGGACTCCCATCACCTCTCTGTTGAGCTGATCCCAGTATGTTCCTCTTTCTTGATTATACTCTTGTTTTGGTAGAGCACATCTTCCAGAAGCTTTCTGAGGAAAGATGGATGAGACCTAAATTTTAAGACCTTTTGTCACTAAAAAATTTTTCCATCCTACCCTTATACATAATTACAGAATTCTGTGCAAATGATTTTCTCTCAGAATTTGACAGTATTGCTCCATTGTTGTCTAAATTCCAGTGTTGTTATTAGGAAGCTTAAATTGATTCGAATTCTAGACTTATGGTGTGTTATTTTGTTTTTTCTGGAAATTTTTAGAATCTTCTCTTTGCTCCTAGTGTTTTAAAATTTCATTATAATGTGCTTTGATGCCAGTATTTTGCCTTGTGCACTCGCTAGGCCCTATCTATCCAGAACCTCATGTTTTTTTAAATTGTGGGAAAATTTCTTAAAGTATTTCTCTGATAATGTTATCTCCTTTTTTTTGGTTTTCTCTTTCTAGATTTTTTTCTTATTTGGATGTTAGACCTCCCGGATTGATTCTCTACTTTTCTTATCTTTCTCCTATTTACACCTGCCTTTTTAAAAAAAAATTCCTCTTGCTTGGATATGTCTTTGACCACTTCTAAAATTCCTATTGAGTTTTCCATTTTTGTTATTATATTTTCAGTTCACAGGACATGGTATACCTAACTTTTCTTCCATGCAGTAACATTGAGCTTTCCCTTCTAAGTTTAGGATTACATGGAAGATGAATTAGGAGTCAGATGGAGAATATGAAAAAATCCTTTTTATTGTTGATAAAATCGATTGGAGAACATGGATTTAGATCTGTTGCCAAAAGAGCCTACTTGGTATTACTTCCTCTTAGAATTAGCAGGGGCATGCAGTAAATCCCCCTCTAGGAGCCAACCCTTTACCTCATGACAAAAGTAGCCCATAAAGTGTGCTCTCTGCAAGCAGACACAGACCAAAGAGGAAGAAAGGACTGAGTGCAGCATGCCCAGTTTTAGGCTCACCAATCAGACTGTTCACTTCTTTTCCCCTTGTTGAGGGTGCGGAGAGGGTAAACAAAGGCACATGGAGAGATGAGTAATATTAACCCATTAGAGGTTGCTCCATATGGAAAACTGGGGAAAGGATATCCGCCCAACTTAGGTATACTATCTGGAATGTTTTTGATTCTCTGTATTTTGGTGACTCTTCTCCAGCCACCCCTTTGCATTTCTCTCTGTTGTTCTTAGAGTGATTGCAAGAATGTGCTGCATTAGTGAGAAGCCATTTACAGAAGTCATTGCAGGAACCAGATGGTGCGGATGGCATGGAACATTGCAAGTTCTTTGGCAAGAAGGAGAAAATAGAGCAGGATGAAGAAAAGTCTATCCAGAAAGTTGGAGCCCGATCACGCTCTCTGTTAGAAGTTTAACAATTTGACCAAAAAAATTAATATTTGTGTATTTAAATATGCTTAGATGCAACAGAAATCGCCTTAACTGACCTTCACTTATGTAGGTTGCAGGATTAGCTGATGTCCTCTGTTCCTGTGTAAATTTTATCATGTGTTGGTAGGTGTTGGCAGCTAGTATAGTTCTCCTGAGTATGCGATACACTGCTCATACTTCTCCATATACTTTCCAAGAATTGTCTCCAAATCTGTTTATGCCAGTTGTGCTTATTATTGTAAGTATGTAATTAAATTAGTTGTTATTATGTAAACTGATGAAACATGAGTAGGAAGAGAAAGCTACTTTAATGAAAAATATTTTAAACAATTTGATAGAGTGTATAAAGGCAAGATGCTAAAAATACTTGCTATTCAATTAGGTACAAATGAGATATCCCTAAGAGATTGGGGAATATGACAGAAATCTAGGATTCTGCACTGACTGCTTTGCCGGTGTCATCAAGTGCTTGCTCCAACTTGAAATAAAACTGGATGATAATGCGCATTATGGGTTTGGTTTATTCAAGAAAGACAATGCTCCACCCATGAACTTGGGAATTAGGGTTTCCTTTTGAGAGTTAAATTGCATGGTCAACACAGAATGGATAAGATCTAAAATAATCAAACTCTGCTTGGACAGGCACAATGCCACTCTGCATCGCTCTTGCTCAATCTAAGTGGGTATTAACATTTGAAGGAAGAATATGTCCCTTGGAAGGGCTTGATGGTGGTGGTGATGGGAAGTGTTTTAGTTCATTTTCTGTTGCTCTAACAGAATACCACGGACAGGGTAATTTATAAAGAAAAGAAGTTTATTTAGCTCGTGGTTTTAGATGCTAGGAAGTCCAAGAGCTTGGTGCCAGCATCTAGTGAGGGTCTTCTTGCTGTATCGTAGCATGGTTGAAGGCATCACATAGTGAGAGGCAAGTGTGTGCCAGCTCAGGTCTCTTCTTCTTCTTATAAAGCCACCAATTCCATCATGTGGGCCCCACCCTGATGGCCTTATCTAATCCCAATTATCTCCCAAAGGCCCCACCTCCAAATACCACCAACTTATGAATTTGAAGATTAAGTTTCCAACACATGAAATGTTGGGGGGCATGATCAAACCATAGCAGGGAGAAAGAGAAGGAGATAGGCCAGGAATGTAAAAATGGAAAAAAAGGTGTCACAGAAGCCAGTGTTGGGCAATGCTTGGAGAAGGTTGTGATCTGGCCCTAGCACACAGCCTGTTTGGTCCTGGACCAGCTATATCTCTTAGATGGTTGCTTAGGCTTATCAAGGCCTGGTGCCTTTGACACCTGAATCCTCCAGCTGATCCTGATCCTGATTTTATCCTCACTAGCATTCTAATGCTTATAATTTGTCTCTCCAGTTAGCATGTGCAGGTATAGGGCACACTGATAAAAATGTATTCATAACCATTCTGGTCTTCACTGAATTTAAGTAATCTGCATTTCAGATCATCTGTAAATATCTGAGTTGGGTTATTGGAAATCTGCCCCTAAACTGCTAAGGTGTCAAAAAGAGGTTGTGACACTATTCTCTATGTGCTGACAGAATCAGGTTCTGCATCTGGGGGTTGAGAGCCAGACCCTGGACTTTGATCAGTTGCTCGAAAAATGGTGAGGGCCGCTTGGTGGCCGATCAGCCAGAGCTTCCTGGAGACACTCGCCCTTGGAATCCACACTCTTCAGACTTGTCCAGCCTCAGCCTGTTGTTAGCCGTTTTGTGGGACACCTTGGTTCTTTGTTCATTTACAGGGATAGAATCAAATCAGAGCTAAAACGAGTGTGTAAGTCATAATAAATAATTAGGAGTTTCTTTGAAAGCTTCCTTACTGAGGCACCTTAGAATTCGATTATTTATCTTAAATATATAACTATACTCCAGGTGCAAACAACACCTACTCCCGTAGTTATGGATCTTTAGGAGTCTTCTTTTAGAAATGATCTCTAGAGCTTTTCTCCTATACACCAAGCCCTTTTGTAGTGTGAAATGTCAGAGTTATGATCTAACACTCTGAATTAACGTGTACAGTAAACTAAACATCAACAAGAGCTTAACTCTCCATGCAGGTTGCCAAGGCCGCTTTGGCATAGCCTGAAGTTTGTTTTACGTCTTTCAGCACCCATGCTTTTACAAAGAACATACACATCTTGGAGGGCTGGCATGCATCGTGATAATGCGGTTTACAGCACCCGGGTCTCTCCAGGTCTCTCCTCTGCACAGAACGTATGCGGCAAAACATAGTGGTCCTGGTCACAGAGCCGAGGGACCATCGACAGGGATCAAATTGACTGGGTAATGGTAAAGTCCCCACTTCGCTCCAGCCTGTGTGGCTCTTATGTGGTAGGCAACAATATTCTGGAGTTGCTTAAAGCCTCTCAAACCCGACCATGTGGTTATACACTGGGAGAACACAGGGGAGGGGCCTGGAATCTTGTTAACTCTTTCCTGTGTGTATTGGGACAACCTGAGAATAATGCTTTAAAATTCAGGCAGCAGAAAGCCCAGAGCGCTCACTGCATCCACTGATTTGCCAAAAGAATCTTCTCTCTAAAACCAGTGAGTTTGCTTTTTCAGGAAAATGTATTTACCGTGCTATTAAGTATAAAAAGCAGTTGACACTCTTTCCTCTCTTATACTGGGCAAATCTGGTGATTTATTTGATGCATTTTTTTAAAAAGGAACTTTATTTTGAAATAATTGTACATTTTTAAAAAAGATGTAAGAAAATGTTAAATTACCTCTCTGTATAGCCTTCCCTCAGATTTTCACCAATTGTTAATATTTTGCCACATTTGCATTACGATTTCAAATCTCTCCCTTTCCTTCTCCTGTCCTCTCCTACCTATCTATCCAGCCATCCATTTATCCACCTATCTACACACACTATACACGCAGATAATGCTATCTTTTTATGAACCATTTGAGAGTAAGTGCAGGATCATGCTTCTTTACCCCTAAGCATTTAAGTGTGTGTTTCCTAAGAATAAGGACATTCACTAACATCGCCACAGTATAATTATGAAAAGCAAAAACTTTAATGCAAACACAATTCTATTATCTAAGGTACAGACTTTATTCACATTTCACCAGCTGTCTCCATAAGGTCCTTTATAACAAGACTTTTATTTATTTATTTTTTAAGGTCCAGAATGCAGTCCAGCATCACACGTGGCATTTAGTTTTCTGTTCTAAGTCTCTTTTCAGTCTAGAACATTTCCTAAGCCTGTCTTTGTTTTTCATGAAATTGACCATTTTATTCTACAGGCTGTCTCCCAAGCTGGGTTTGGGGCTGCTTCCTTTTGATTAGATGCAGGTTGCCCATTTGCATGTTTTTGGTCCTTGCAGTGTTATGTCAGGAGGCTGACGACTCTGTGTTCCCATGGTTGGTGATGTTGGCTTCCATCTTGGTTATGGCAGTGTCCCCTGTGTTTCTGTAGTAAACTTATGGTTTACTATTTTCCCCCTCATAATTAGCAAGTAATTTGCCAGGAGATACTTCAGGACTATGTAAGTGCCCCATTCCTAGTTGGATGTTCCCCACTCGTGCAGGCGTGCTCGATGTCCTTGTGAAGGGGTGTCTCACGCGTGCTGTCTGTTCCTCCCCCAGTGGTGATCATGTGTGCGAGCAGCGACACCATCCGGAGCATCATGTTGGCAGCACACAGGCACGGCATGACCAGCGGAGACTACGCCTTCTTCAACATCGAGCTCTTCAACAGTTCTTCCTATGGTAACTCTGCTTCCAGTTTCCCCTCCTCTGCTAAGGTGTCCAAGAGAGGTTGTGAGGAAGATTCAAAAAATTTGAATTAAGTCTGTAGATGTGATTTCTGTAAATATGATTTTGGAAATTTGTGATTTTGAACACTCCCATAACTTCTCATAATTTCTCCAGCTTTTCTTCTCTGACAACTCAATTAGAGTAGACAGATACCATGTACCTGTGATGTCAATGCACTTGTCTGGGGGTGAGTGTAGCCCACTCTCACCCTCCAAATGATCATAATCCAGCCCCAAAATCCCCCTGCCCAGTGCTTTTCCAACTGTCACCATGAAGAACTGTTGGAATAATTGTAGTGAGATTTGGGCAGAATTTTAGTAGCATGGAATAGACTAGGACAGAACACGATGGAATAGAATAGAGCAAGGCGTGTCACACTTAGCATGTGTGTTGTTTTATAAAACTTTTATTTTAGTAATATAATTGTATGTTTGTGTGTATGTATGTATGTGTGTTAAACATATGTTTGTAATGGGTGGCCGTGTGAAATCAAAAACTATTACCGTACAGCGAGGTAAAAACATTTGGAAGCTATTGCCCTCAACCCTCCCCTTCCTTCCAGAGTACTGCACCTTGAACTTCTCCTATATACAAGTTCAGGAACCACCTATCGGTGGACTTAAAGCATTTAATTCCTTATAATGGATCTGGGGAAGTTCCCGGGGTTCCTGTGATGGAGGGTTTTTAAGGAGGTCATCACAATCACAGGTAGAAAACATTTCCCCCCAGATGTGATTAGGGCTGTCTCTGAAGTAGACACTGGAGGGCTACAGAACATTTTCTCAAATGCTGCTCGCTGGCTGCTCAAAGTTGAGCGGTCATAGGGGAAGCGTAAGTGCACATATCACAAATGGTGTGTTTATACTGTGCTCCACTTCCCAGTTCTTGCTGATGAGATATAGTTGGACAGGATCTAAACCTTAAAACATACTCCCCGGTTTCCTGCCCTGATATCCTGGCTTACTTAAGCCGTAGATCATTGTGTATATACAGATAATAAAACACACTTCTCATGGGGATAAAGAAAAGTTGTTGAGACAAAAGTAGCCACTGCTTCCTGTAGTGAATAAAATCAGAGATTTGAGGCTTGCAAGACAAACACACTATTTTACCCTCCTTGTGGGCATAATGTTTTTTTCTCTCTCCTTTACATGGCAGAGTGGAATTTTCACTTCTCAACCGAAGATCAGGATGCAATTATATTAAATATTATTGGCTGCAGTATTGAGTTCATCGAGATAGTGGTAGAAACTGGCGAAAATGAAAAAGATGTATTCTGAGTTTTGCAAGTTGGCAATTGCAAATATAGAACTTAGAGGCGATGCATAGGAAGGCACATTGTGCATCTAGTACTTAATACAAATGTTAGCTACTAGAATTAGTTTTATCTACAGGTAAAGCTTGTATTAGTTTTCCTTGTTAATTATAATACGTGATTCTGTAGACGATTTGGAAAACATAGAAAAGCACAAGGAAGAAAATAAGTTACCATATTTATGCCACTCAGATAAAAGTATTTTGATAATTTTTAGAAGTACGTATATCCTATTTTATACATATATATATTTTACAAAAATATTTTTCAATGAAATGATACTATTTATAGTATGGCTATGTAGCATTTTATAATGTTGATAATGGTATCTTTAATCAATCTCTTATTTTTCAATATTATGTTGTTCCCAGCTTTTTGCTGTTAAGAACGATGCTATGTTGAGTAACCTCACATATTTATACATATATAATCTGTAAAGTAAATTTCTAGAAGTAAAATTGCTGGCTCAAAGGTTGTGTGCATTTAAGTTTTGACAGATATTGTCAAGTTGCCCTGTAGAAAGGTTAACCAATTTCCACTTTTGCAGCAATGTATGAGATTGTCTGTTTCCCTCTATCCTTGTTAACACTGCATAATCTAACTTGGATGTTATTTTGTTTGTTTGAATTTCTTTTTATGTTTTTAAGCAAAGTTTTGCAATTTTCTTCCTTTATATTCTACCATTCTTGTTGAGTTTATTCTTAGGTATTCTATGTTTTTTTGTTTTTATGATCATGATCTTTTCCTGTTACATTTTGTAACAGAACAGTAGTTATACAGAAAAGCTAAGAGTTTTTGTTTATTTAGTCTGCAAGAATTCCACATATTAAACCTGTGCTCTAATAGTTTTTATATTATTTTCAAATAACAATGACAGCTTTTCATCTATTTTGATAGCTGCACATCTTATTAATATTTCTTATTCTTTTCTTATTGCATTAGCAAGAGCTTCCAGAATAATATTATTCTGGTGATATTTTAATTTTTGTCTTCTTGTCTTGAAGTAGATGTTCAAGTCCTTTTATTATTAGTTTTATCAAGTGTGATTTTAAAAATCAGAAATGAATAATGGAATTTTATCAATTGCATTTGACCTATTCTTTTAATAAATTTCCTGATATTGGGCCATCATAGCATTCTCAGAATCAAGCATGTTTTGTTATAATGTTTTTTAAAGATACATTGCTGAATTTAGATTTTTATTGTTTTATTTAGGATTTCGAATCTATATTCATGAGTGAGATTTGAGAATAGTTTTCTTGCCTTGAGATGTTATTGCCAGATTTTAATATCAGGTTCACATTAGCTTTATAGAATTAATTGGGATACTTTTGTTGTTTTCCACGCTCTGTAACAGTTTATATACCATAGGAATATTCCTTGAAATATGGAAACAATTCAATTTTATATTTGCAACTAACTTCTTTGTAGAAGTAATTTTTGGACAACTTAAAACATCTTTTTATTTTGAAATAATTTTAGACTTATAGAAAACTTACAAAAATAATATAGGTTAAGTATCCCTTATTTAAAATTCTTGGGGCTGAAATGTCTTGAATTTCAGACTGTTCTGGATTTTGGAATATTTACATATACATAATAAGATACCTTAAAAAAATAAGATATCTTAGGAATGGGACTGAAGTTTAAACACGAAATTCATTTATGTTTCATATACACCTTATACACATAGCCTGGTGATAATTTTATTTTTCCCTTGGGGATGCTGAATAATCCGTGTGTTGTGCATCTTCGTTTTGACCCATCACATGAGGTCAGGTGTGTAATTTTCCACTGTGGTGTCATGTTGGCACTCAAAAAGTTTGAGATTTTGGAACATCCTGGATTTCTGATTTTCAGATTAGGGATGCTTCGCCTGTTTAGAGACTACATGTATAGTCATGCATCACTGAACGATGGGGATACATTTTGAGAAATGAGCCATCAGGAGATTTTGTCATTTGCAAACACCATAGAGTGTACTCACACAAACCTAGATGGTATAGCCCACTACACACTTAGGCTATGTGGTACAGCCTATTGCTTCTAGGCTACAAACCTGCACAGCATGTTACTGTACTGAACGGTGTAGGCAATTGTAACACAATGTCAAGTATTTGAGTGTCTAAACATATAAAAGGTACAGTGAAAATACAGTATTATAATCTTATGAGACCACTGCCATATGTGTGGTTCATTGTTGACTGAAACATCGTTATGCGGTGCATGACTGTATGTGTTTTACAAGGCTTCCTCTAATGTTAACAACTTACATAACCATAGTAACATTATCAAAACAAGAAAATTAACATTGGTACACTACTACTAACTAAACTACAGGCCTTGTATGAAATTTACCACTTTTCCTCCCAATGTTCTTTTTCTGTTCCAAGATCCAATCCAGGATCCCACACTGCGTTTGTTCATTGTGTCTCCTTAATCTACTCCAATCTGTGATAGCTCTTTAATCTTTCCTTGTCTTTCATGACTTGGACACTTTTGATGAATCTATTATTTTATAGAATGTTTTGGATTTTATTGGGTCTTTTCTCGTGATAAGATTGAATTTATACATTTTGGCAAGAATACTGAAAAAATGATGCTGCGTCCTTTGCAAAGCATAATACTAGTGTATAAGAAGTCGTATGTATACGGCTGGGTGCAGTGACTCATGCCTGTAATCCTAGCACTTTGCAGACTGATTTGGGAGGATTGCTTGAGGTCAGGAGTTTGAGACCAGCCTGAGCAAGAGCAAGATCCCATCTCTACCAAAAAGTAGCAAATTAGCTGGGCATGGTGGCACATACCTGTAGTCCCAGCTACTTGGGAGGCTGAGGCAGGAGGATTGCTCAAGCTCAGGAGTTCGAGGTTGCAGTGAGCTATGATGATGCCACTGCACTCCAGCCAGGGGAACAGAGTGAGACCCTGTCTAAATAAATAAATAAATAAATAAAAAGAAGTCACATCTATATGACTTATTGCTGGTGATGTTTGGACAACTTTTAAAAACTTACTTTCACGTGAGTTCGGTTTTTCTGCTTCTTGACAATTTAATTGCACATAGTTATACAGAGTGCTCTTATAAAGTATACTTGATGTTTTGATTAGATTCCCTTTATTTTGCCTTTTATACCATGTTTGCTCAGAGTTTGGGGTCTGGTTTGGTCTGCCTGAGAGGCTGTGCCATGTACTAGCTCTTAACTCTAGAGCTAAGGGTTAAGAGCCTGAACCCTGGCAGAGTGACTTAACCTTGCCCTCTTCTCCCTTAGTTTCTTCTAATGATAATAATAGTATTTACCTTCTGGCATCAGATTGAGTAACAAATGAGATAATTTATGTAAAATATCCAGCAAACTTCTTGGAATGTAATAACTATTTAATGACTATTAGCTGCATTTATTCTTAGCCTTGGTTTACTTTGACCATTGCACATAGTACTTAAAAAGTTAGAAGTTAAGTTCGTTCATTTTTCTGTGGTGGTAGTTTTATAGATAGATTTAGCGTCATGCATTCAGTTACCAAATTAACCAATGTTAATGTAATACATCCTAAGGACCAGTATGCATTAGGAATTGCATCTGCAAGCACATAACCAAGACACCCAATTGTAGTGATTTAAACAAATGTAGAGGTTTAT